CTTTTTTTTTTTTTTTTTTTTTATATCCCATTCTTTGGAAAATGACTGAAGAGGCTTTAACAAAAAAAGTATGGATACAATTCACTTTAAAACTAAGAGACATTTTGGAAATCTAATCTGTACAAAAAATAAATTAATAATGTAACAAAATTATATTTTAAAAGGTTCAGTTTTTTCTTTTGCTCTCAGTTTGTAGTAATATCAGATTTGGGAATAAATACAAATCAACCTGATATATATTTTAAATATGTATTAAATTAGAACTTTTGACCTATGCAGCACATACCACTTTTGTCAAACAATATGATTTTGTACAACACAGAATAAACTAGCAAGCTCTTGCAAAAAAGATAATTTTTCTAAGGTAAAAATCAAGAACAAAATGCAGGCAAGATTCAAAAACTAATAATTCCTTTTGGATTTCATATCTTTTACGTGCGTATGTACTCGTGCTTTCCATAGTTTTACAAGAGAATGCTGCTCTAGGACAGTTTCATACAGTTTTGAGGCCGTTCAGGTGTTTCACCTTCACATTAGCCAGGCATTAGGATGAGGAAGAGCAAACAATTCAGTACCTAAAACTAAGTCACCTGAGGAAACTTACACTTATGATTTTTTTTGTCAACTTTGTGATTTATTGTCACTGAAACAATGGCTATGGAGAGGGAGAGGGCACGTTTGGCTGCTTTGGTTTTTGTTTATTTTTGGTTTTCTTTAGCTTTTTTTTTTTTAACAACATTTTTTTCACCAAATTCACAAGTATAATTAAAATTGTAGTAATAAAATATTAGAAATCCTATCTTGCACTAGTTTTATATTATTTTCTCATGTAGAAAAAAGCTCATAAATCAAAAGCAAAATTCTATATGTTCACATTTTGGAGTAACAAAACTGTGAAGATTGCCAAGTTATAAAAGCCCATTTTCAGATCTGGAACAACTTCTGAAAATAAACAGGGTATTTGGCATATTTTGAACTAGAGAAAAATCCTACTTTCATTATTTTCTGATTCTCAGGATCCAATAAAAACCTTATGGAGTAAAAATTCTTGCAAAAAGCTCCTGCAGTAAAAACACAACCGACCACCAGCTCTGCTCCCTTTTTAAGCAATGAGATTTGATAAACTATAGTAAAAGTGTGAACATTTTTATTTTTCTTTTGAGTTTGAAAAATAAATATTAAAAGTTCTTTTTTCTTTTCTTTTTTTTTTTTTTTTTTTTTT